ACCAGACATAATGACGTTTAGAATTAAAGTCATGTGTAGCTTATACTCGAGACCTGGATAGGTTTCAAAATTTATTTATCGCTCACGTTTTCATCGCGCTCTCATTCTTTGTGTTTTCCTTAGGCCCACGCCTTCCAATCTCATTCCCCCCCAAAAATGAGCCCCTGAACCGAACTAATCTGACCAAAAAATGTTTGGGCCGGTTTCAGCTTTTTGGAAGATAATTTTATGCATGTATAAAATTATAAAGTTTAGATCTCACCCCCCCCCCTTTACAATCTCCCTGAATACATTTTTCAAATTCATGTTTTAAAACCGTTGTCGGTTTGATTTCTCTCCCCGTCATTTATGTAGTCGAAAATCTTTTTTTTTACTTAATAGTATATTTATAAAGTATGTACAATTTGAACCAAAAAACTGTGAAATAGGAAGACGACATTAAATTAATAATTAAGTGTATTTTATGTTGGTTCAAAGCAAATAGTTTTAGTAGTAACTTATTAAATCACTTATCGCGAAAAAACGTGTCTGTTTACACTGCACAATAGCTGTGTTTCAAAATCATTGGACTATTTAAAGGCATAATTTGGGTCTAAACGTCGTCGTCTTCCCATTAGAGAGTTTTATGGTTCCAACTGTATATTCAAGAGTAAAATATGTTATAAAACCACTACATGTTATAAAACCACTACATGTTATAAAACCACTACATGTTACAAAACCACATGTTAACTTATAAAACCACTGCATGTTATAAAACCACGACATGTTATAAAACCACTACATGTTATAAAACCACTACATGTTATAAAACCACTACATGTTACCATTGATAAATAAATAAACATAGATAGCTTATGTACGCAAAATCACCAAGAATTGTACAGTCCACGAACTCATACTTCTAGGGGTTAAAGTGTACTTCAATGATAAGCGGGGTGTTTTAATGGATTTCATAATAGAGTGTAAAATAACTCCGGGAACAACAATATTTCACTGAGCAATATATCATATTGACGAGAACAGAAGGAGGACATGAGAAAGACTAAACTAACTTAAATTTCTCTCTACAGAACTCATGCACACCACAAGTACTTAATGACATAAGAACAGCCAATGTTCACAACCGACTTAGTTAATCTATAAAATAGGAATATCTTCATAACATCTCTGTACATTTATATCTTTCAAGATGAAAAATGTCGTCTTATGCACAATCTATCTTTATCTACGCAAGTTACAAAACAACTACATGTTATAAAACCACTACATGTTATAAAACCACTACATGTTATAAAACCACTACATGTTATAAAACCACTACATGTTATAAAACCACTTCATGTTATAAAACCATTACACGTTATCAAACCACTTCACGTTATAAAACCACTACATATTATAAAACCATTACATGTTATAAAACCACTAGATGTTATAAAACCACTACATGTCATAAAACCACTACATGTTATAAAACCACTACATGTTATAAAACCACTTCATGTTTTAAAACCAATAGATGTTATAAAACTACTATAGGTTAGAAACCACTACATGTTACAATACCACGTGATAACTTATAAAACCACTACATTTTATAAAACTACTACATGTTATAAAACTACTACATATTATAAAACCACTACATATTATAAAACCACTACATGTTATAAAACAACTTCATGTTTTAAAACCACTAGATGTTATAAAACTACTTTATGTTAAAAACCACTACATGTTACAAAACCACATGTTAACTTATAAAACCACTGCATGTTATAAAACCACGACATGTTATTAAACCACTACATTTTATAAAACTACTACCTGTTATAAAACCGCTACATATTTAAAAAAAAACTACAACATGTTATAAAACTACTACAATGTTATAAAACCACTAAATGTTATAGAACTACTAAATGTTATAGAACTACTAAATGTTATAAAACCACTAAACGTTATAAAATCACTTTATGTTATAATAACACTACATGATATAAAACCATTTAATATGTTATAAAACCACGGCATGCTATAAAGTCACTAAATGGTATAAAACCATTACAGTTACAGTTTAAGTAAAGTGTTATGTTAAAATTGTTAAAAATAAAAATCAAGAATTATTAATTAGCATTGTTTAAACTAATTTTGATATATTATCTGTTAAAAAACATCCGCCCCCCTCCCCCCACACTAAACCTGCGAGTAACTATCTATCTTCCTATCCCGCTAAATTCCCACTAAATATGTTTTACGACGTTAAATATTTGAAATTTGACAAAATCTTTTTTATTTTGAATTTTGTCTTGAAAATTTTATTTTAACAAGAAACGCAACAAAATCAAAAGAATATTTTGGCTTTATTTATGAAACTAGCAACAGAAATATCCGGCGTTGCCAATGCCCGCCATTTATTTTTATTTTTGTGGCTGTTCATCGTGCAGTTGTCCACCTTGAGTCTTGATAAATTTCAAAAAAATATATCTTGTCTAAATGTTGGCAGATACAGATACATTGGTGTTGTCGGATGGCTGCAAGATTCTCAATAATGAACAGATTAACAACGGGATAACCCTCTACTCAAAACCGATAATGCAGAGAAACTCTTTATTTCCTAAAAAATGAAATGGATATAAATTATTACAATGATTTATGAATTTTTATAATGGAAAGATTCTTACAATCTAATTAAGGATCTGAAGGTTAAAACCGTCAGAGAGTCCTAAGACGTTTTTTTTATATTTATACTTCTGAAAAGAATGACAATTAATTATTAACGAACTTCACTAATTCTTTATATGAAAATATTCTTTGCTTAACTTTTGAAATGGGTTCACAATAATAAAAGTATTTAGACTCCATTACCGGAGAACAAAGAAAACGGGGCTAAAATTATTTGGTTTGGTGTCTCCGAGAGGGGATTTTAAGTTAAAGACGACATTACACGGATGGACGGAGAGATCTTATAGTTAATGGTTGACACTGGCCCCAGGCAGGGTTCGAGGATGTTAGGGTAACATACGAGAATTAAGAGGAAAACCATTAACAATATACTGAAACATGTAGTTTGAATGATTGATGGAGTTTTTGGTTCCCCTCCTGGTTCTATTCCTGTTTCCTTGGTTCTTCTCCGGATTTTTAACAGGAAGATCTGGTTTCCCACCTGTTTCTTTTCCAGATTGCCAGGTTGACCTCTTGAATTTTCTGGCACGATTGGAGGAAGGGTCGAGAGGCTCCACCCAGGTGACTATGTTGGAGCGGACAGATCCGTACACCATGTATCCCTGGGTCAGGTTGCTCCGGTACAGGGCCATTCCCTTTGAGTCATGCTCAATCTCTGAAGGAAAGAATAAATTGTTGTCGCCGCCAAGTAGAACTTCTTCCTGGCCTGTATGCTGCGAGGTCAAGGTCCCCATGAACGACCTCCACTTGTGAGGGACTGAAAGTGAAAATCCAGAACTGTTGTTGAGGTCGTCCTCTATCGTCGTTAGCTTCAGGGTTTTCCCGAATAGCTTCAGCTTGACCTCAGTGGTGAGGATAACTCTTGCTTTCCCCAAGTAGGTCAGCACTTCGAGGGTCCAAAAGAGTACATGCATTGGGGTATGGTCGAAAGAGTTGACCTGGAGATGAGGCTGAGTTGACAGCCGGTGTCATACTGGATTCCTAACTTCGTCCCACCCAGGTTTCGACCAAGGGAACAGACTGGTTGGCGCTGACCTTGGAGACATAGATGAAGGGGGCCTGGTTGTTGTGCATGCAAGCCTTTTTATGCATGGGGATTCCTTTTTCGAGGCAACCCTTGGGACACACTTTGGACACACCACTGTTGTAGGTAGTCTTGCACTTGTAACCGACGCTGTGAGCCTGGGTACATGTAAAACAGAGGCCCTTATCGGCGATCAATTTGAGGATTTCAGGTGAGCTCAGTTTGACAGTACCACAGGCGCTGGTGAGGGAATAATGGTTAGCTTCAAAACCCTTGATTGAACACATGGCGCAGGGCCTCAGAGGACAGTGGTGCTGTGGGCCAGAAAACCTTGGAGGCTGAGGATTAGGTTTGGAGGTTCCTTGTCTGACTACATTGACTCCTACGCTTAGGGGCGAGGTCAAGGTCATAGAGATAAGGAGTGGATCAATAATTCTTCTCCAATTCTTCTACGAATTGGGCTAGGAATAAGAACGTGGCCGGAGGTCGGACATTGTCCAGACACTGTTTGCAGAATTTGGAGAACTGATTGTTGAAAGATGGCCTCACTTCCATCTGCAGGCTTTTCATATTGTTCTGCACCAGAGACTGGGTGAGGGCAACGCTGTGAAGGTTCTCCTTGTTGTGGAAGTTCTCCATGATGATCAGGTTGGCCTGTAGGGTTTTAATCTTGGGAGAGAGGTCTTCAGCGACCTCCTGGACTGACTCGTAACGAGGGAGGAGGTTAAATGTTTGATTGACATCTCTCCCGAAAACATCTATGCTTCCGAACTCTTCGATCAGCTTGACCTTGAAGGTGGGCCAGTCAATGATGTTGTTGAAAGGTCCTCATTTAGCAAGAAGGATGACATGTTGAGTGAGAGCCACTTTGACAACATCTTCAGCTTGGGTCAGATTGAACCTGTTCAAGATGGTCGGCAGCCAGGGACAGAAGTCTGCAGATTTGCCACTCCAGGTAGGTGTATCAAGTTTAGGAGGTTTGAAACTGGCACGAGGTTGTTGATTGTGCTGAGAAGAAGGGGGGAGGCAGGTTTGGTGGTGGATGAGGAGTAGTGGATGGTGAGGAGGTCCGAGGTGGTCTTGGAGGCGGTGTTAAGGTCGGAGCAGTCATACTTAAGGAATTCGAGGTTAGATTCGCATGTTTTCTGGAGCAGTTTCTTGGTGCTTTCCAATACTTCAATGTCATTCTGTTGAATCGATGTGCGGAGTTGGTGAGTAAAGAGTAGGATGAGGTGATTAGGGGGGGGTTGANTTATAAGGATTATACACAAAGTAGTATACTAGATCCTATATACATTGTTTTATTTTCGAATAAGTTTAAGCATGGAATTGATTATTGAACAGGGAGAAATTTCTCGATAGACTTTTCAGTTTTTTGACTTTGAGTGTAAAAGTTTCCAAAAGCTCCTTTTAGCCAGGATATCTCTAGGGTTTCAGTTCTCTCCCTGAAATAAAGCAATTAATATCATATAATTTTTTGTCAAAAACAGTAACAGTACACATAGGAACTGAGTTTTTGCAACAAAGTATTAATATTCAATCTATCATATTTTCGATTCAATGTCAAACACCTGAAATATAACAAACTATGAATTCTGTTATATTAAATTATAAAAAATTAAAATACTTTCATAGGTTTCCACCATCAGATTACACAAATATAGGGATATAAAACTTTGGGGTTTGTTGCAAAGACTCATTTTCTTCATAAGTTTTTGTGTTAATATTAAAACTATTATGAGAAGAACTTAAATTAATTTTTTATTATTTTAACAAAAGCTTTAATGAAAATTGTTTACATTATTATTTTACAGGTAAGAGAATTTTAATCTATGTAGCATTGGTTGTCATTCATTTTATTTTGATTCGGATCCGGATCCTGGATCCAGGTTATTTATTTGAAATGTCCTTAATTTATTTAACAAAAACAATATCAAAAATTTGTTTTCTTATTATTTGTGCTTTATGTTATGTAAAAGTTGAGGAACCATTAAGATATGGATCCAGGAAGCGAAAATATTGGGGATCCAACGGATCCCGATCATAATCACTGCAGAAGTGCCTAAATAGAACTCACATTTCTGTAAAACTTGATGTCCTTTCTAACATTTGCCAGCCTCTGATACTCTTCATCGTCAAAATCTACTTTGTTTCCGAGCATTACAACACTCCTAGTTAAAAAAATATTGAGATAAGTAACTTGAATATTTATATATATTCAAAGTTTGATTAAATACATGCAAGCTATACTTAAGAAATGAACGTTCAAAACAATGACGGAATTAATAATTTACCTTCAAATCAATACACAGTGTTAAAGCATAAAATTTAACTTTAACACAAAACACATTAAGCTTAGTAATTAAACAAAGATACAAGTTTAAGCTGGTATAGAATCATCATTGCATTCTTATTTTCTTGGTGGTAATTAACATGCGATGTATTAAATATTGTTTGGATGACAGAACTTGATAAATATTTATAGAAACATACCCTCTTGGCAGGACATCAGGTAAAAACCAACAGTTGCTGCAGACATATTTCCCCTAAAAAAAATAAAATAATATATATTTTTTTATTTAATATAAAAAATGTAAAAAAATAATGTTATTTTTGACTAACTTTAATAATATCATATTTAGTGCTGTACATTTTACATTTGTAAGTAGGATATTGCATGAACCATAATAATAATGATCACTGCAAACCAACATGTGCATGCTCCTGCATGTCTCACGCTGAAATTGATAAGAGTTTTGCCAATAACTCCTTAAAGTTAGAGTTAAATTTATGAAATGTATATGACTTAAAAAAAATTAAAGGAATTGAGTCTTTGCCACAAACTCTGCTTTTCTAAACCTTATATCTTTGGATTCCAATGTCGTAGACCTTAGATATTTCAAACTATGAATTCTGTTAGATCAAATAATAAAAGTTTGAAATATCAAGGATTTACGACATTGGGTTCCAAAGATTTAGGGGTTATAAATTCAGAGTTTGTGAGAAAGACTCAATTCCTTTGTTAATGTAAAACTAAATGCCAAGGTGATGTTAAGTAAACAATACTAATCTCTAACATGAACATTAATTATCTCAAGCTTGAACCATCTTTACCTTCAACCATTTTTATCTGTAACCTGACCTGTACTCATCGCTAACCGTACTTATCTATAACATTAACCATACTCATTTGTAACCTGAACCATATTTATGCTTTCCTGAGCACTGATCATGTGTAACATCAACCATACTGATCTCTACAAGAAGCCCTACTCATCCTTACGTTGGAAACATACTAATGTGTATTCTAGAGCATAATCATGAGCCGTTCTCATTTGTAAAGTTAACCCTATATTTGTTCAAATTTAACCTACTTACTGTGAGCTTAACAATACACGATCATCCAATGTTCCTTTATTGATATGTAAGTATCGAAAACGTTATGTTTAAATAAATTGTTATTTTTTGATTGGCAAAATATTCAGTTATTTAACGAAAAAATTTTCTTAAAGAGCATATTTACCTTCCGGTTGTTGGAAGCTAACAAAATGCCCCAGCGATGGATCATCCTTTCGCATATTCTGCAGGTTCTCTGTAAGAACAATTATTAACATACACATTATCATTGTTTACAGGCAGTATAAAAAATGTGTAAATAAAACCTATGAAAATGTTCGGTAATTACTTAGGACTTTAATGATGCATACAATCATTACGAGGTATTTGAGAAATAATGCTGTATTATATATTACTAGCCTTAGAGGGCGCTTCGCGCCCATCTTCTAAATTAATTGTGAACATGTTCTCTTTGTATACATCGTAAAACAAAACAAAAATAATTCGCGGATTTTCACAAAAAATTTCGTGGATTTTCAAAATTTTCAAAAATTTAATGAAGATCGAATTTTGATGGAGACAAATATTTGAAATTTTGATCATTCATAAACCTTCCCTGGGGTCCCTAGATGTCCCACAAAAAATTTGGGCCCGATCGGTTCAGCCGTTTTGACGTTTATTGGATACAAACAGACAGACAGACAAGCCAAATTTATATATAGATTTGAACATGAATTAATACCAAAGCTCTCACGCCAAACTAGAGTAAATTTGAGAAAAAAAATGTTTGAAATTCTCATCTGTAACCTGATAAAGGAACTGAATTTTTGCCACGAACTAAAATTTTATAATCCCTATATCTTTGCAACCTAAATGTGTTATCCTTGGAAATTTCAAACTTTGATTAATAGATCTAACATAATTCATAGTTTGAAATTTCTAAGGTCTACGACATTGGGTTGCAAATATAGAATTAGTGTGTGGTAAAAACTCAACTACTTTGCTTTTCTTATCCTTGTTTTCATAAATCAAAATTATGGATCTACGAGGTCACAGAGTCTTACGAGTAATGTTGTATAAAATTCACCCTCCCGTTTACAGTGTTCTTTGACAATAAAAGCAAAATCTTCAAGACTTTTTTTTAATATATCTTATCCAAAAGTTTTTAAATCACAATATTCAACTATATTTTTGTTTCAGGTATCCCGAGTTCACAATATGCCCTCCTTTTAAAAACAAGGATAATAATGAAATAAGAAAGATTTTTATAAAGTTTAAAGGGACTGTAAGCATAATATTTTTATAAAGTTTAAAGGGACTGTAAGCGTAATATTTTTATAAAATTTAAAGAGACTGTAAGCGTAACATTTTTATAAAGTTTAAAGGGACTGTAAGCGTAATATTTTATAAAGTTTAAAGGGACTGTAAGCGTAATATTTTTATAAAGTTTAAAGAGACTGTAAGCGTAATATTTTATAAAGTTTAAAGGTACTGTAAACGTAATATTTTTATAAAGTTTAAGGGGACTGTAAGTGTAATTTCAAACGAACCTTCGTTCAAAGATGGCAACGTTCGATTTACAATGGTACCTTAAACAGATTTTTTTGATTAAGTATGACTTAATTATTAACGTTTTTATAATTTTAAGATTTTCGATTTTGGTTTTTCTACAAAAGTTACTTGACTGCATGGAACACGTATATGGAAAACGTAAATGAATTATCAGAATTAAATGCTTTTAAAATAAGAAAACCGACAATATCGTCCTCTTCAGTATTGTTGAGATAAAGGAGTTAAGGGCATTTCCATATTTGCATGGAGGGTCACTTGAAATTAGAAAGATAGAGAATGTTGCAGGTGCGGCATTTATTCCTCAGCTTGACTAAACAGTCTAAATTTGTACAAAAAAACCACCTACAGAAGCCGCTTCAAATGAGTTGTGGATCAGCCCTATTGGGGAGAGGATGAAGAAATTCTCCAAACTCCCCATGGTGTCATGAAGGACAATCTGAGTCCTGAGAGCAGTCAATCTCAGGGACGGAAATTCAGATAAGCTCAAGCCATGGGTTAGTTAATCAAAGTGGATCTAGATGGCTTTAAAAATACAAGAAGATCTTAGGAAACCCAAACCTGTGACTCTGAATTGAGAAGAATACAGGAAACCTATCACTTAGCACACAGGAAACCCAACCTGTGACTCTGAATGGAGAAGAGTACAGGAAACCTATCACTGAGCATACAGGAAACCCGAACCTGTGACTCTGAATGGAGAAGAGTCCAGGAAACCCATCACTGAGCACACAGGAAACCCAACTTGTGGCTCTGAATGGAGAAGAGTACAGGAAACCTATCACTGAGCACACAGGAAACCCAACCTATGACTATGGATGAAGAAGAGTACAGGAAACCTATCACTGAGCACACAGGAAACCCAATCTGTGACTCTGAATGGAGAAAAGTACAGGAAACCTATCACTGAGCACACAGGAAACCCAACCTGTGACTCTGAATGAAGAAGAGTACAGGAAACCCATTACTGAGCACACAGGAAACCCAACCTGTGACTGTGGATGAAGAAGAGTACAGGAAACCCATTACTGAACACACAGGAAACCCAACCCGTGACTCTGAATGGAGAAGAGTACAGGAAACCCATCACTGAACACACAGGAAACCCAACCCGTGACTCTGAATGGAGAAGAGTACAGGAAACCCATCACTGAACACACAGGAAACCCAACCCGTGACTCTGGATGAAGAAGAGTACAGGAAACCCATTACTGAACACACAGGAAACCCAACCAATGACTGTGGATGAAGAAGAGTACAGGAAACCCAACCTCTGGATTCAAAGAACCTGTAGTAGCAGATATATCTCCATTTACTCTTCGTTTCTTTTATTTATTTCACTTTTAATGGATATCTAATTCTATACTTGATGAGACAACGCTTTATGGATACTCTTGTAAATCGGGCATTGACATCTTTGCCATGGAGGATCACACTCACTTAAACATTAGACTTATGTTAAGTGACACTCCCTTGACAAGTCCCTTGACAAGTTGAAATCAATTTCAAGTACCTGACTAACATTGAAGCAGCTAGAGCACTGCGCACAGTAATACCAAGGAGTATGAAATAAAAGGGAGATACAACTGACGCAGACCACCCTACTCTTATGCATGCTTTGCAGACGGGTACTCCATTTGTATGAGAAATGTTCAAAATAGGTTATTGTATACGCGGTAATTGTACATCAGACAAATATTTCTTATACAAATGGAGTACCCGTCTGCAAAGCATGTACAGAGCGTCCCATATCATATTAGATTATCTCCAAGCTTTAACGCCAAAATACACACATAATACTCGAAAAACCTAGTATTTTCTGCAAGAAAACTTTTATAAAAAACCTTTTACGTTTTTTAAAAATGCTTCATTGTTTTAAAATTTTCTGATTGGTCCCTATAATCGCAATTTTGAGCTATACTCGATCTAATATGATGTGGGTCACCCTGTATAATCATATGGTAGGGCGGCCGCGTCAGTTATATCTTCTTAATATTTCATACTCCTTGAGTAGTTCACATACAGAGACTATATAAGGCAAAACGGGACGCTAATCACTTAAGTGAATTTGCGACTAATTAATTAATATCAGGGGCATCTACATGGGACCCCCCCCCCCTATTAACCTATTTCCTGTATACGCCCCTGATTATTATGATTTAGGAAACTGGGTCTGCTAATCTCACTGACCTCGAAATGAAAAGGGTAATAAATTTCTCAATAATATCTTTTAAATATAAAAATGAAAAAATAGGATCGCTTAGGTTTAATGTTTATGTGATTTAATTGATAAATTATATCTTGTAGATTTTAAAAATCTTTATTCATAAACTTCTAACTTTTTATTACTTTTTATTTAACTGTCACAAAAAAGGTTTTAACCAAATTTTTAAAAGTTTTACACATTTATCATCATATTAAGGACAAAACTTTTAAAATCCAAAATATTTCTTAATTAATTTTAGCACAAACAGAAAACGTAAAATATTTTTTAATTATTAAAAAGTTTTTGGTTCATTAACTTCTCCGCTATTGTCTAATTTTCACCAAATTAATTTAAAACTATGTCTTAAATCTCTCAAGCGAGGTTTTTTTTAAAACATAAAGAAATTTTACACTGTTCATTGTCCCGCGATCAAAAGACTATTTTTTAAGTTAACTTACAAACCCGTGAGGAATGGCTATTAGAATGAATGTATCTCTACTTTCAGAACAATCGGACTACACCCTTAGGTTTATCATTGAATCCCTCGGGGGTTTAAATTTCAATTGATTTAATTTTCTATGAGAGTATATCTAGATATGCTATAAGGTCAAAAAGGAATTAAGTCTTTTTCACAAAACTCAATTTTTTCTAATCCCTAAATTTTTGCAACTTGATAGTGTAGACTTTATGTTTTAAACTGAGATTATTTGATCTAACAAAATTCATTGTTAGAAATATCAAAAATTCATGACATTGGGTTAAAAAGAAAATCAGAGTTTGTGGCAAACACTCAATTCCTTTAATTCCTTAATACGGACGTGTGTATGAATTTCCAAAACATATCATTTATTCAGAAATATTGTTTTTATCACAAACACTTGAGAAAATTGAAAACGGATATTTACATTTTTTTCTATTTTCTTCTTGTTTTATATAAAAAAATGTACAGGGTGACCTACTTATCGCAACAATCAAGAGAACCCCGTTTTTTTATTTCATATCCAATGACAAATGTGTCTCAAAGAAAGTGGTGTAACTTTTTGTAAATCATAGCTGTTGCATAACAACCTTTAAGTAGTTTCTCAATTGTCATGTTTGGACACCCTGTAGGTGTTTACTGTTTACACTGCATGTAAAATGTAAGTTTACTGGACTATCAGGGCGCTTCGCGCCTATCTTCTATTTTAACTGTTAATTGATGCTGAATCATTCAGCATTTTCTCTTTGATAAAACAATAATACAAAAAGTTGGGGGTTTAGACATTTTTTTCGTGCATTTTCAAAATTTTCAGAAATTCCAAAAATTTTGGAGATACATTTTTGTTATTCTGAGCATCCATAAACCTTCCCAGGAGTCACGTGAGGTTTTACAAATATGTAGCCCCGATCGGTTTAGCCTTTTAGACGTTTATCAGTTACAAACAAACACACAGACGAGCAAAATATATATAAAGATGAACTCCAAGGGAATGTTGAGTTAGCTTTGACTCACCCACCATTTATAGACTAACATGTCCAATTTAAATTTATATCTTGAGGATCTCCGAAATGCCG